CCCCAAAACCCCAAAACCCCAAAACCCCAAAAAGATAAATTTGTAAATAAAAGTTGAAAATTTTTAATTCATAATTGATCATAATATCAAAAGCAAATCAATAATTAAACTATTTTTGTTTAAATAATGTAATTCAGAGTTATTTAGTCATTTTGAGTAATCCAAATAGTCCCTTTATGATATTTTTTGTCTTAACAAATGTAAATTTTTAAATTGTCTGCTATTACTATCTAATGTCTATCCATTGATAATCTCTTAATTTTGTTTTTGGCTTTAAACTGAGTAATTGAGGCCTTGGTCTTATAGAATATCTCTATTTGGTACAAAATTAAGATCATCTACAGTTAAATTCTTTGATATATTACTTTCTATCATTAATTCTTAAGTAGCTGTTAGCGTTTCAGTATCATTTTTTATTGAAATATTTAAAAGTTTTTATTATTTTGCTTCAGTCTTAAATTTTTCTTGATACTATTAACTGGTATTAAAACTATCTTTTCTGGAATTTTTTAATTTATTAGACAATCTTAAGCAAAGTCTTGAGATTTATTGAAGTAGTTTTTAAGCAGCGATATAGTATATATTAGTGAATAAGAACAAGACAGAAAGTGCAATTGGTAAAAAGCCCATTTGCATTTTCAAATCATAATTTAGTTCGTATTAATCTGAGAAGGCAATCATTGTATACAAAATTGCTAGAATAATAATTTCATTAAATACCTCAAGGCCATTTGATTTTTTGTCATAAAATGGTCGATTTCTAAGAATATAGCATGCATTAAAGATTGACTGAAGTATTAGAAACTATATCTGCAATCCTTGGTAGTTTTCAAGATAGACGAGCGCCAAAGAATAAGTAACTCTTCGTAAATTTATGATGCTTGTGAAGATTAAATGTTCAGGTTTGATATTTTCAATGAAGGGAGAGAATTATTTTTCCAATATATTCATCTGCCCTTAATATGCTGCATTTGTGATGATAAATGAGTAAATCGGTAGAATGCAACATAGGACTAAAAACAAAACTGATAAAATAGCTCCAGTAATATCAATGTAATCATCGAATCTCTAGAGAATGATAAATTAAATATTAGTTACATCAAAAGAATGAGTTGAGGAGCATATAATAAGCTCAATTAGTGACTCTATAAAAAATCTTATAATGTATGAGTAGTATACTCTTTTGTACAATTTATCAGCAATTTTTGCTCTATTTCTATAAAATTTTGAATTTAATTAATCATTACTTAAATCTAGCTTAAGCAAACATTTTCATTATGCCAGTTATGATCATTATTATAGCTACCATACAAAAGATGTAAAATATCATTCCAATATTTCTAATTAAGTTTGTTGATGTATACCCCATTTATTCGAAGTTAGGATTATATACTGTCTCTTTTAGTATGTATGATTCATTGTAGCTAAAGAGTATTTGATTTAATTTTTCAACATCAAAGAACTAAAAGCTAGAAACATCGAGAATAAAGCTATAGAATAAGGCAACATTAACTGGTATGTTGATTGACAATAATGGTAGATGCGTTATTAATTAAAAGCTATTAATCATTCCCCATAGTAGTTGGATACTCTGAGACCTATAATAGTTAAATTCATTTAGCAATACATCAAAATGTTGATAAATAGATTAGTACCCATAAAACTAGATACTGTAATTGAGCTTGCTGATCCAATGCCATCGTAAAAATCTTTTAGACCTGAAATATTCTATGATTGAACAATGATAATACTTGAAGATATCTAAGGAGGGATGTGTCCTTTAATTTAGTATCCTTTCTTCATCATTAATTTCTAACTGGTATCGTAAAAGACAAAGTAGTAATTAAACCTGATTATCAATGTGTCCCAATCCTAGATGTAAAGATTTAGATTATATTATTTACTGAGTACTTTGAAATGTTTTAGACATTCAAAAATAGCATCTAAATTGTCAACCTCCTGTTTAAGTATGATTGTACAGTAAAATTTTAGTTTTACTCTGAGTTAGTATCTGAATATTCAATAGATATATTAATTGACTTTTATATCTTCTGAGTGAAGTTATACGATTCATAAAGATTAGTATCAAATGTAATGGTAAGCAATCCTGTGTTAGTTATCTTTGTAATTTTAGCTTCAATAAATCCAATCGTCATAAGTTTTAGACTTTATTTATATTCTTAGTAGATATCAGTATTTTGAACTAAGACAGATTCGTATTAATTGGTGGTGTTTTGAGTAATTAATATTGTGAACTTATACTGATTTGAAAGAGGGAATATGCTATTATCTAATAGCATCACAATTACTTCTTAAGATCCTACCACGCTTTCTATGGCATTGATAGTCATTTACTTTTCGTTAATCTTCAAAAATAGGTCAGCCATTTTAGATTGATAAGTTAACTCATAGCTATCTCCTTAGTCATCTTTTATTTCTGGCATATCAATTTCCTTTCACTAGCCAACTGATAATTCATAAGAAGGTATTGGTGATAAAAAGTAAGGAGCAGTGTTGTTTGAAATGTATACTTTCGTATCTCCATAAATTACTACTTTTAGATCATAGGCCAATATCTTAGGAATAATTTCACTTATTTCTGATGTAATTGTGTAAATGACTTAGTATTGATATATTCCTATATCTTCTGCTTTATCAGATTATACACTAATATTAAACTAACTAATCTTAGTTTGATTTATAAAACTTTCGACTGGTAATAGTGATCCTTTTTTTATTATACTTAAAGTTTAATTATAGCATACATGATAAGGCGCTAGTTCTAGTTAAGAAAACTAGATGTCTTATTAAGCATCCAATATTTTCTACCTTACCTTTGGAAAGACAGGATCAGTTAAAACTTTGAAATCGTCATTGCAAGGATTTGTAATATTCACACTGAAGTCATTTTAAATTTAATTGAACTAGTTGATTGCATCAGAGATTTGATAGAATACAGAGAAGTTGTAGAAGCCGACATACTTCTACTCTGTAAGATTCAAAGTAATATTAACTTCTAGAACACTTTAAGTGCTTTAGTTGTATGTCTAAACATTTTTAAGTAAGCCCGCAACATCATTTTTAACTAGAATTGAAACTGTGAATTTTTTATTTGTAGTATAAAGATCTGCACAAGTGTTCTCCAGACTGTAGTTTGAATAAAAAACATTGCAGTAAAATCCAAGACTACATGTAACCAAAGAAGGAATAGATGAAGGAACGCTTATTTACTTGATAGGTAGTTTAGATAGCCAGTTCGTTTGCTTTGTTAAAGCAGTTTAATTTTTTAATAGATTTACATATTCTCCAAGATCAATCATCTTTTTCAGATAAGGCTAGTTACTCAAGTTAGAAACTGTAGTATCTGTAGAAATTGATACATAGGGTAATGAATTAATTGTATGAGAAGTATATATATAATTTGATCCAGGGGTTTCAATTTGGAGGGTTTAATAGTTATACTCTACTTAGTAGATATTAATATAAGCTCTCCTCTTATTTGGCCACTCCTATAAATAACCAGTATAGTAATATACTCCCTTTGAAATGAAAAACCTCATCTGGCGCATTTAGTTGAAGTATTAAGATTTTGGTTCTATTTTGTTCTAAGAAATTGATGGTGTAGCTGAAAGAGTTCCACTGAAAATAGCTTCTGACAATCTTATATAGTATACCATTCTTGTAGCCTCATCTTCAGAAGAATAGAAAATTAAGAAATGAGAAGCAGAAAAAAATCTAAACCCTATACATTAACATCCTCTAGTAGTAAAGTCTTGATCAGCATTTCAATAAATTATCTTATGACTTTAAACCCCAGATACGACCTATGTTGCCATTAATCCAAAAAAAGCAGAAGTAGAATCATCATTTTGTAGGCATCTAATTTTAATAAAGTAATGAGATAACTTACCCATAGATTATATTATTTGTATAAGATTCCATCAAAGCAATATTTATAGTAGGAGTTGATGCAAATTCTTGTACACTAATCATATTAATTGTATTTGTCCCAGAACTAGCATCGCTTATCATTGCAAAAAAGAATCCATATTAATTATTAGCATCAGTAGTTGTGTCTTTATAAGTGCCAAATACAGTTAAAACATTTGAGTAATACAGAGCTGATGTTGCGAATCTATAAGGCTGAGTAAATTTTTGTTGCTTTTTTATTTGATTAAGCTCTTCTGACAAAATCACAATTGTTCCTTGCTATGATTAATCTTAAATGAGAACTACTATTTCTCCAGAAGTATCTCAACTTATGAGCATATTTTTGAAGTGATTAGTGGGGATCCTAGCTAGTAAGCCAACAGAACCAAGCACGGTGCCGTTTAAATCAAATCTCTGAATGAGATAATATCCATTTCTAATATTAGAATCTTATACGCTTGATCGCATAGCAGCTACTATATATTTAGATTGTTAAAATAGAACTGACTCAACATCCTCTAATTAGACATTTATTGGTACTGGTGAATCAGGATCTCTATCATAGCCATTAACCCAAATAACTCGGTTCATATTTGCCTAGTTGTTAAACAATCCTATCATCAAATATTGATTGTAAAGTCCCCCAAATACCAAATATTACAGTGTTGAGTCATAGTCCAATACATTAATCAAGGAACTTGTGGTAGAAGAATCTCCAATCTCAATAGGTAATTAATTGGCCCCAAAACAATTTGGCAAACATTTTACTCTAAAATTGTTGAATTAACTTATATTTTCCTTACCAGTTATGACATATTTATAGTAAAGTCAAATTGAATATAAAAATTGTTATTCTTTCAATTTTCTTGTCCATTTTTTGATTATAAGGATTTTGTGTGATTTAATACTGATAATAGAGAAAAAGTTAATTATTATTACACTTATTTATTGTATTAATTCAATTGAATTTTGTTTCTATTTTAATTTTTTAAACTGTTTCACACGGGGTTTTGGGGTTTTGGGGTTTTGGGG